GAAACCGATATTCATTTCAAGCCCACCGACTCCCACAGCTACCTAGAATACTCCTCCTCCCACCCACCTTCCTGCAAAAATGCTATCCCCTATTCCCAATTCCTTCGCCTCCGCCGCATCTGCTCCCAGGATGAGGCATTCCACTCCCGTACATCTCAGTTGTCCTCGTTTTTCAAGGACCGTAACTTCCCCTCCTCGGTGGTCGAGAACGCCCTCAACCGTGTCTCCCACATCTCCCGCACCTCATCCCTCACACCCCGTCCACGCAATAAAAACCAAAAAAGAATCCCCCTCGTCCTCACGTACCACCCCACCAACCTCCGGATCCAACGCATCATCCTCCGACACTTCCGCCATCTGCAATCCGACCCCACCACCAAAGACATCTTTCCCTCCCCACCTTTATCTGCTTTCCGGAGGGACAACTCTCTCCGTGACTCCCTCGTCTGCTCCACACTCCCCTCCAGCTCCACCACACCCGGCACTTTTCCCTGCAGTCGCAGGAAGTGCTACACCTGCCCCCATACCTCCTCCCTCACCCCCATCCCAGGCCCCAAGAAGACTTTCCACATCAAGCAGATGTTCACCTGCACATCTGCCAATGTGGTATACTGCATCCGCTGTACCCGGTGTGGCTTCCTCTACATCGGGGAAACCAAGCGGAGACTCGGGGACCGCTTTGCAGAACACCTACGCTCGGTTCGCAATAAACAACTGCACCTCCCAGTCGCGAACCATTTCAACTCCCCCTCCCATTCCTCAGACGACATGTCCATCCTGGGCCTCCTGCAGTGCCACAACGATGCCACCCGAAGGTTGCAGGAACAGCAACTCATATTCCGCTTGGGAACCCTGCAGCCCAATGGTATCAATGTGGATTTCACAAGTTTCAAAATCTCCCCTCCCCCTACCGCATCCCAAAACCAGTCCAGCTCGTCCCTGCCTCCCTAACCTGTTCTTCCTCCCACCTATCCCCTCCTCCCACCTCAAGCCGCACCTCCATCTCCTACCGACCAACCTCATCCCGCCCCCATGACCTGTCCGTCCTCCCTGGACTGACCTATCCCCTTCCTAACTCCCTACCTACACTCACCTTTACTGGCTCCATCCCCGCCTCTTCGACCTGTTTGTTTCCTCTCCACCTATCCTCTCCTCTCTCCCTCTTCTATCCGCCTCCCACTCTCTCTCTATTTATTTCGGAACCCCCTTCCCCTCCCCCTTTTCTGATGAAGGGTCTAGGCCCGAAACGTCAGCCTCTCTGCTCCTATGATGCTGCTTGGCCTGCTGTGTTCATCCAGCCCTGCACCTTGTTGTCTCGGATTCTCCAGCATCTGCAGTTCCTACTATCTCTGTACTTTTATATGTGCAGCTTTCTCTATCAAACACAGCTCTACAAAGTGTAACCTACCTGCTCTCCCCTGCCCCACAAGTCTTTACAAAACTTCAGTCAAACATATTTTTTTTAATTTAAGGCTGAGCACCCTGTACAGTTTTTGAATGGTTGATGTTTACTTATTCTATAATATTGACCAACTGATGTGTTCAGATTACTTCCTGGCATTCTGTCTCACAATATATCTTTTCAGAATTGCAAAAATCTCTTTTGTCACCGAGAAACATTTGGTTATTACAAGTTTGCATCATCTTGAGCTTGTGTATTTCTGTGTACTTCTGAGCGATGTGAGAATGCTGAACAGCACAGGGATGTGGCTATCACTTTCCCAGTTTTGATGTGGAGCCCAGTTTTAAATGCCAACTGGAATGCTAGTTTTTGATTTTGCAACCCTCCCTTTTCCCAAAATGGGTTGAGTGGCCACTTTCTGCATTGTGAGATTCAATGATGTGAAGTTTTTCCTAGTGGAAACTAAGAGTTTTCATTCTAATGAGAGTTTTTTCTTCACACAAAGACTTACAGTAACCAGACAGCCTGCCAGCTGCTCACTAACATGGTGGTGTTGAGTGTGAACATCTTAGTCGGTAGTGAGGCCTATATTCTATACAAGGAGATAAAGTCCAGGTAGGTAAAACATTTTCATTACTCTCCTTCAGATGCAGCAAATTCTGGTCTCTCATTTAAAAAGTCATGCCTAATATTGTACAATTATCACTTCTTTCCTGTGAGGGTTAAGGTATCGCTTCTTAGGTGCCAGTCAAAGTAACCATTGTTCATGTGTGAGTCCAGATAGCAAGTATCCTGAACCAATGCAGCCAAGCTTGATCCTGCCAATTGAACGAGAAGGTCACTGGGTCCAGGGGAACTGAGGCCACTTATAGTGCCCCCAGATGTCTGAGTGCTGTTAATGCAGAACCAGTGTTTTGGCAGAGGGGCTGAGGAGCAGAAAGCGTTGGTGATGGATTGTTGGAGAGAACATCCTGACACAGTGCCCATTGGCACAATCAATGGTGATTTTCCTTCCTCCGAATGGAAAAGTCAGAGAATGAGGCAAGTGGTTTGTTTCAGCAGAGGCTGGTGTGTAGAATTCCCGTGTGCGCTCTCAGCCAATGCTGATGTGCTGTAACGAAAGAATCACTCAGTCAACAATTGTGATACATTTTGCTTCTTTCGACAGTATGTCAATCGATCGAGATTAAAAGTCCCCTCTTATTGTAAAAAAGTAACGACTGGACCATCCAGAAAGCAGCTTTCTTGATTGGCAATCCATCAACCACCTTCATCATTCCCTCCTTCCATCGCTGACACTCAGCAGTGTGTGCCATCTACAGCATGCACTGGAGCAACTCTCCAAAGTTCTTTATACAGCACCTTCTAATTCTGTGACTTTTACCACCTTGAAGGAGAAGGGCTGGAGATAAATGAACCACCGCCATGGGGAAGGCGATGGCCTAGTGGCCTTATCGCTGGACTGTTAATGCAGAGACGCAGATAATGTTCTGAATACCCGGGTTTGAATCCCGCCATGGCAGGATTCAATAAACATCTGGAATTAAGAATCTAATGATGACCGTGAATCCAGTGTCGATTGTCAGGAAAAACCCACCTGGTTCACTAATGTCCTTTAGGGAAGGAAACTGCCATCCTTACCTGGTCTGGTCTGATCTACATGTGATTCTAGACCCACAGCACCATAGTTGACTCTTAACTGCCCTTTGGCCCATTAAGGATGGGCAATAAGTGCTGCCTAGCCAGCAACACCCTCATCCTGTGAATGAATTAAAAAAAACACAGCCTTTATGCATTGTGGCAGGACGTTCCCTCCATGTCACACACCCTTCTAATTATATCGCCGTTCATTCGCTGTTGCTGCATCAAAATCCTGAAACCTCCTCCCTAATACCACATGGGCATACCCCTACCACATGGATTATAGTGCTTCACAAATGTAGCACATCATCACTTTCACAAGGACAAGTTAGGATGAGTAATAAGTACTGGCCTATTCAGCTATACCCGCATCTTATGAATAAATAAACAATACTTCTGACTAGTATTTCTGACTAAGTCTTTCTCAACCCTGCATCACCACCCTTTTTTGAATAAGCCATAAAAAGGTTTGTCTTCAGAACAAAGGTGATTACATCTGGACAGATGATATAAATCTGCTCAGTGAATATTTAACTGATAATAAATTTCTGTGCTGTATGACTGTATAATATGCCTGATGAAACAGTGATAAGAAGGGAATATTGTTGCATTGTTTTCAGGGGGAAATAAAGTTGGTTTAGTGGATCAAGTGTCAGTAAGAGATCATTGAGGGGTCAGCAGTCATATCAAAATGGGTTTTGATTAGTGAGGGACAGCGAAAAGGAACATTCCTGAGTAAAAATATTTAACTTGGGGAGGGCCAACATCAGTGGGATCAGAACAAATTTGTCCTGGGTAATTTGAAATCAAAGATTGGCCCATAAACCTGTAAGGGAAAACAGGTTACCTCAAAGTACAAAATGTATAGGGTACAGTTGAGGTACATTCCCACAAGGAAAACAAAACCAACATCCTCATGACAGAAGACATAGAGAGTAAAATGAAGCAGAAAAAGAGCGCATCGAGTTCATCGTACAAGAGTGAATCTGACTGAATGTAGAAAATACAGAGAGGTTGTGTAAAGGGAAATAAGAAAGAGAAGCAAAGGGTAAGTATGAATAGAGATTAGCAGCTAGGATAAAAGGGAGTACAAAAGTTCTCTATATGCAGAAAAATAATGGAAGGGTGGGTGCAAGGGGACTAGGGCCAATTAGGGGACCTTAAGGGAGATTTATGTGTGGAGGCCTGGAGCATGTCTGAGATAGGAAATGTGTACTTTGTGTTTTTCTTTACCAAAGAAAAAGATGCTGGCAAAAACTAGTGAAAGAGAAGGTCATTGATCTTCTGAAAGGGCTAAAAGTCGGTGAAGAGAAGGTTTCAGAATTGCTGGTAGTATTTAAGTTTGACAAATCGCCACGACTAAAGAAGATGTGAATAAGATCAAGGGAACTGAGGGAAGTAGAGTTGGGAGTTAAAAGAGGCATTGGTGTTGCCAGAGAACTGTAAACATTATACCTCTGTTTAATAAAGGGAGTAAGGATAAACCTGGCAACTACGGTGTCGATGGTAGCCATCATGTGGAGGTGCCAGTTTTGGACTGGGGTGGACTAAGTCAGAAATCACATGACACCAGATTATATTCCAACCTATTTCCCGCCACTTCACCTAACAAAGGAGCAGCACTCTGAAAGCTTGTGATTTCAAATAAACCCGTTGGACTATAACCTGGTGTCGTGTGACTTCTGACTTTAGCAACTATGGGGCAGTCAGCTTAACAGGGCTGGGGGGAGGGTGCTGTGATTAGAGCTTTCAGAAATGAGGATTTGAGGAAAAAGGTTGATCATCACCTCAACAAATGCGAATCAATTTATTAAGACCATAACATATTTGTTAAAGGAAGCTCATGTCGATTATGGTTAATGACTAAATTACAGAAAGAATTGATGAGGATATTGTGTCTGATGTGATGTATGCGGCCTTTCAAAAGGAATTTAATGAAGTCTCACCTAACAGGCCTGCCAGCAAAGGTAAAGTCCATCGTATAAAAGAGTCTGTAGCATTGGATTGCCTGAGCGTCAGAAAACAGAATAGTGGTGATTACTTATTCTTCAAACTGGAGGATGGTACACAATGAAGTACCTGAGGAGTTGTTAGCAGGACTACAGCTTTTCTGGATGGGTATTAAAAGTAAAGGTAAAGTTGCTAGAGAGAGACAAGCATTAATGACCTGGACTTCAGTGTGTAGGGCACAATTTCATGCTGATTTCAAACCAGGTAATCTTGACATACATCTCTCCTGAGTAAGAAAGCTGTGTAACATGCAGGTGGTACAACATCATCTGTTTGACCTTTCACAAAAACTCCCTGTGGAGTTGTTGCTGCTCAGCTGGAGGGTAAAAGAAGTCTTTGGTGAAAGACTGCCATCAACAAATCTTTGGAATTATGAAATGTTTTGGCATGTTAGTGGTAAATTACAGTGCAGGATAAAAACGTAAGTGTGCACACTTTTGTGTTATCTTTTCAGCAAAGTTATATTTATTTGTTCATGGGATGCAGGCATCACTGGCTTGGCCGGCATTTATTGCTGAGAGTGAACCCCATTGCTGTGGGTCTGGAGTCACATATAGGCCAGATCAGGTAAGGATGGCAGATTTCCTTCCCTAAAACACATTAGTGAATCAGATGAGTTTTTATAACAATAGCTACATAGTTGCCATTGTCATAGTCTTTTTCCTTTTAGAAATTCCAGATTCCCTCCCTCCAATTCAATTTTACCATCTGCCATTGCAGGATTTGAACCTGAGACCATTAGCCAGAAACTCTAGGTTACTAGTCCAGTAACATTGCCAATATGCCAACCCCTCCCTACTGAGCTCACTTCCTATAAAGTATATGCAAGTCCATATTGCAAGATCAATGGCTTTTTATAGCATCTGGCACCATGCCACTGTGGTGCCAGATGTTTTTCTACTTCATCGGAAGTGACATGAGAACAGGTTAAAGCTTATCTGAGCTGCAGGCTCCTGACCCTGGAATGAACAACCACACTTGTTTCTTCTTGTCCCTCAACCCCAACTGATTGCAACGCTTTCACATTCTCACCAGATAAGATCAACTGAGTCAATACTGTCTCGGACTCAAAACCAGGAGCCACTCTGTTAGTGTGAGTCAGTATCAAAAGTATAGTTCATCAACAAAGTCTGAGACATTTCCGTTATTGATGAGAGCACAGAAAGGAATGTTGTAATTAGGTTGTGGCTCTAATGGAAAGTTCTGCATAAGTGCAGCTCCAGAATCGGCTGCATTGAGTATGTAGTCATTTGAGAAACAATAATTGTAAATATGTCTAGGCTGCATACAGTCTCAAGCATCTTAATGTTGATTGACCCTTGGGACAACAGGATTGGCTTATGAGGATTCTAGGCTTATACTCGCTAAGTTTAGGAAAATGAGTGGTGATCTCATTGCAGCATTTAAACCTTTGACAGGGATTGACAGGGTAGATGCAGGAAGGATGGTTCCCCTGACTGGGAAGGATCAAGAATCAGGGTTCGCAGTCTCAGAATGAAGGGCAGACCATTTAGGATTAAGATGAGAGGAATTTCTTCACTCATTGGATGGTGAATCTTTGGAATTCCCATTCCCAGAGGGCTATAGAAGCTTAATCATTGAATATGTTAATGACCACTAGTTTTCTGGATATCACAAAAGGGGATAATGCAGCCACATGGGGTTGAGGTAGATCAACCATGATGTAGTTGAATGGTGGAACAGGCATGACGTTCTGAAGAGCCTGTTCTTATTTTTATGTTCCTTTGATACAGCGCTACCTCCTGAAGATAGAAATTCTAATCTAATGTTCTCGCTATTCTGTTCAAATCCCTGCATGGTCTTGTCCCATTCCTAACACTTAGCAACCTCCAGCTGTACAATCTTCGCAGATCCCTGCATTCCTTCAATGATGCCCTCACGTATATCCTTCTCTGCCTGTGCCCTACATTCTAGAACATAAGCTTTGGAATTCCTAAACCTCTTTTTCAGCCTCTCGTTGTCCTTTAAAACTCTTCCTAATGATGCTTTTGACCACCCAACCTGATGTTTGTTCTTTTTTGAGCCAGTGTCAGTTCTTGACTCCCATGAAGAACCTTGGTATGCTTAGAAGTGCTATAGAAATGAAATCATTGTTGTAATTTTAGACAAACTGAATGAGAACAAAATTCCTTCCGTTGACTTTCTCATGTGGAATTCTGTGATTAATAAGGAAAAGAAGACAAAAAGAACGCAATCAGTCAGTTTAGCAACATTCATTTAATACCACGCCAGAGCTAAATGGGTTTACCTTATGAGTTTTAGTTGTACGATTTTCTTTATACATTTGTGGGATGTGGTCGTTGCTGGCTGACCTGCATTTATTGCCTGTCCCTAGTTGCCCTTGAGGTAGGTGGTGGTGAGCTTCCTTCTTGAACCGCTGCTGTCCACTCTGTTGTGGGTTGACTCACAATGCCGTTAGGGAGGGAATTCCAGGATTTGGACCCAGTGATAGTGAAGGAATGACAACATATTGCCAAGGCAGGATGATGAGTGGCTTGGAGGGGAACTTGAAGGTGGTGGTGTTCCCATGTATCTGCTGCCCTTTTGTTCTAGATGGAAGTGTTCGTGGGTTTAGAAGGTGCTGTCTGAGGATCTTTGGTGAATTTCTGCAGTACACCTTGTAGATAGTACACACTGCTGCTACTGAGCGTCGGTGGTGGAGGGAGTGAATGTTTGTAGATGTAGTGCCAATCACGCGGGCTGCTTTGACCTGGATGGTGTCAAGCTTCTTGAGTGTTGTTGGAGTTTCACCCATCCAGGCAAGTGGGGAGTATTCCATCACACTCCTGACTTGTGTCTCGTCGATGGTGGACAGGCTTTGGTGAGTCAGGAGGTGAGTTACTCTCTGCAGTATTCCCAGCATCTGACCTGCTGTTGTAGCCACTGTGTTAATGTGGTGAATCCAGTTGAGTTTCTGGTGAATGATGTTTCTGTTAGCTCAGCAAGATGGCACTGCCATCTAAACCTAATAACCTGTTTCATTCTGAGACAAAGACACAGCACTGCCTTAACACTGAGTACACTTCACCAGTACTTTATTTGCTTTGAAGCCGAATAGAGTCAATACATGGCACTCCTGCCTCTGGGCCAGAGGCTTAAGTTCCACTCTAGGGTTTGGGGGCTGTGAATAGAATGTTCATAATGTTGTGAAGCAGCTTAACAGTCAACTTGCTAATCTTTCCAACTTGTTTGGGGGAATTCCATGGTGGCCATGCTTCTATTCCTGGCATGGGGGTCACTAGAAAGGCCAGCATTTATTGCCCATCCCTAATTGTCCATGAATTAAGTGGTTTGCTTGGTCATTGAGGACAGCAGTTAAAAGTTAACCATCTTGCTGTGGCAGATTTCTTTCTCTAAAGGGCATTAATGAGCTAAATGGGATTTTACAACAATTTCTGAAAGACACCATGGTCCCCGGTACTGAGACCAGCTTTATAAGCCAGATTTTTATTAGAGACATAGCCATAGAGTCATATAGCATGGAAACAGACCCTTTGGTCCAACTAGTCCATGCCAACTCTAATCCCAACTAAACTTGTCCCACCTGACTGTACTTGGCCCACATCCCTCCAAACATTTATTATTAATGCACTTATCCAAATGTGTTTTAAACATTGTACTGTACCTGCATCTGCCACATCCTCTGGAAGTTCATTCTACACACAAACCACTGTCTGTGTAGCAAATAAAAATGTCCCTTATGTCTTTTTTAAAAATCTTTCTCCTTTCATTCTTAAAAATGTACACCCTAGTTTTGAAACCCCCCACCCTAGGGAAAAGACATCTGCCATTCACCTTATCTACTGCAGTTGTGGTGTGATTTCAATCTATATTTCCCAGAGTTTTAGTCTCAGCCTCCGGATTTCTTGTCAGTAAAATCACCTCTGTGTCACCATCTACCCCTTGGTTTGTCCCTTAAGTCATTATTAGTTGTTTCTCCCTGAAACAGAGATGCTTCGAAGGTTATGGCTTATGGTTGCACAGTTGCACAGACACTGTGTAAAGGCAAATTGTATATTTCTTGAAACTGGGAGTGGAGTAATGAATTTACCCTCTAACCTTGAATTAACAAAATATTGTCATCTATTGTAACAGAAAAGGTATATCTTGGCAAAAAATTGGGGAGGTGACGGCCTAGTGGTATTATCGCTGGACTCTTAATCCAGAGGCCCAGGTAATCTTCTAGGGATCTGGGTTTGAATCCTGCCACGGCAGATGGTGGAATTTGAATTCAATAAAAATCTATATAATTAAGAGTCTAGTGATGACCGTGACATCGTTGTTGATTGTTGGAAAAATCCATCTGGTTCACGAATGTCCTTTAGGGGAGGAAACCGCCATCCTTACCTGGTCTGGCCTACATGTGACTCCAGACCCACAGCAATGTGGCTGACTCATAACTGCCCTCTGGGCAATTAGAGACGGGCAAAAAATGCTGGCCTAGACAGCAACACCCTCTTGCTGTGAATGAATAAAAAAAAGTTCACTGTTCGAGTCCTGCGTTACAAGGGTGCCTGGTGGCATACTGTTCTGAAGAATTCTTGGTGTTAAGTTCAAGGAAAGGTGGGGGTGTAGTTGTAATGTCACAGGGCTAAGGCTGAGACTAATGTTGTGGGGATATGAGTTTGATTGCCAGCATGATTTTTTTAAAAGCTAACCTAATAGTGACCATGTAATCACTGGTGATTATCATAAAAAATCATCCAGTTCAGCAATATCTTTAAGGAAGGAAATCTGCCATCCTTACCTGGTCTGGCCTACATGTGTCTCCAGACCCCCAGCAATGTGATTGACACTTACCCTTCCCCTGGAGTAAGCCATTCAGTTCAAGAGCATTTAGGGCTGGGAATTAAATGCTGTCCCATCCAGCAATGCCAGTATCATGACAAGAAATATGTTTTAAAATTAAATGGTGTCACAGGTTGGAAAATGACATTTTCTGTGCTTGTGATAGTTACCTTGTGATGATTGTGCTTATCGACAAACAGTAGAAAGGTTACTGAACTGTTCTTTAGTTTTCGGGATGGCTGATCTGTGTTCGTTTTAATTCTTCCCTTTCCATTGCAGTACCAACTTCCTCCCGAAACTCTTTTATGTGGATACGAATATAGCAGCATCCCTATGGCAAACTGCTCCTCGGGGACTCTCTTTCAAAAAGGATTCACAGGCAAGTGTATGGTGATATACATTTAGTGACAGGGGCAGAATCAACCTCCTCCTGGTCAGTCTAGCTGATAATTGAGTTGGATCGGGAAGGTAGCAATGTCTAATTGATGACAATAAATGCATTTCATGTACAGTAGCTTGTCATCAGGGATTGCTAAAGGAAGTGTCAGGCCGGCCAGCGAGAAATCTGCATTTTATTGGTTGCATTTTTGTCTACAGTGGCTCCATGACAGAAATCATTTGAAATATTTTGAGATGTCCTGGGGATGTATTAGAAAAGCAAGAATCCATTTATATAGAAACTTCCACAGCTGTCTGTTGGCACAGTGGCATAGTGGTTAGCACTGCTGCCTCACAGCGCCAGGGACCTGGGTTCCATTCCAGCCTCAGGCAACTGTCTGTGTGGAGTTTGTACATTCTCCCCACGTCTGCGTTGGTTTCCTCCCATAGTCCAAAGATGTGCAGGTTAGGTGGATTGGCTATGCTAAGTTGCCTGTAGTGTTCAGGGAGGTGTAGATTAGGTGGGTTATAGGGGATTGAGTCTGGGTGGGATGCTCTGAGGTTCAGTGTGGACTTGTTGGGCCAAAGGGCCTGTTTCCACACTGTAGGGATTCTATGATTATATGAACCCGTCACCTGTTTGGTTGTCGACATATCTTTGCCCAATTCTGACCACCTGCAGTCCTTATCCTTTAACTACTGTTAACCGCAAGTTAAAGTTTGTGCGAACAACCCCTGGGTCTCAAAATGAAAAAGTAAAGACATCTGAACAATGCTTGCCGTTATCAGTGTGCCAATCAGTCAGCAACATGTGGCAACGAGGAGATGTCCTGGGAATTGCGAATGGCCACAAGTTGTTGCATGGTTTCAGGCCCTCTGCCTTTAGCCTCATGACATCGGCAGCTCATCCCCCAACCTCAACCATGAGGTTACAAGGTGTAGAGCTGGATGAACACAGCAGGCCAAGCAGCATCAGAGGAGCAGGAAGGCTGACATTTCGGGTCTAGACCCTTCAAAGGGTCAAAGGACCCTTCAAACGGAGCCATAAAGCATACTAGCAGTAATAAATAAGACTCCTTCTCAATAATATGGTTTTTAACATATTTTCCCAAATGCAAGAAGGTAGAACATCTCAGTCTCGCTTTCATTGTCAGGGAAATTCTCATTTTGATCGTTTCTAGATGTTTCCCAGGAATCTTTGATGCGTGGATATGAAAGTTGGCATAGTGTAGTTGTGCTGTGGAACAGTAGTGGCATTCCTGCTTGGGTGTTAGACAGTTGTAGTTTCAAGTCCCACTCCAGGCTACCAATCAATGCAGTACTTCAGGAGTGCTGCTCTGCTGGAAGTGCAGTTTTCAGATGAGATGCTGCACTCTCAGGTGACTATAGCAGGCTGTATGGATGCTGGTTAAACAGGAGCTACACAAGTTCTTCCTTGGTGTGCTGGCCAGTATTTATCCCTAAAACGTATGATCAGGTCTTGAAATTCATTGTTGAATGTGGAGTGAGCAGCATGTTCACTACATTTTAAAAGTACCTTGACTTTAGTTTTGTCAGCATCACAGACTAATATCTATATTCTGCCAACATTTTTTTTGTGCGAATGGTCATCAGTGTGGTCATAACCAAATAATCAGCTTTTTTTTTGGAAATTTTGGTAGAAGCTTAGATCTTGCCCAGGACACCAGGAGGTACTCCTTTCCTTTTTATCAAAATGGTGCTATGGATATCTTTTTACATCAATCTGGACAACCAGTTGGGACCTCAGTTTGACATCTCACATAAAAAGTGGCGTCACCAGCAGCACAGTATCCCCTCAGTACCACAGTCAATCATGATTTGTTATATGCTTAAGCCCTGGAGTGGGGCTTGAACCCAGCATTTTACCATCCATAGGCAAAAGCGTTACAAACTGTACGACAGCTTGCAGCCAAGTCTGCTTTGGCAGGAAAGTACTTTCAGATGTCCTGAAGTCAGAAAAAGCACCTTGTAAAAACAGCATTTCTTAATGATCGTCAAAAGCAAGTCAAACAAACGACTGACAGATGTGAGAGTGAAATTAACCCCCTGGTCAGTTACAGTGACCTTCCTGCCTCCAGTAGTTAGTTGCAAATGCTTTCTCAATATTTTAGCAATAACAATGTCATGAGCTTTTGGTTTGAATCTATGTGTAGCAATTCTCTGCATCTACACCAACAACTGATCACAGTTCAAAGTCACCTACTTAATTGGATTAAAGCTGAGCTGTAAAATTAACTGTGTAATAGCCAGGTGTCCTGGACTGATTTCAAGAGCGTAGTGCAACCCCTGGATTTAGCTAACCATTATAAAGCTCTCTCATTAATCTCATGGCTTATAATGTAGGCTGAATTGTGAGGTTGGCTTCTTACACTACAATCATCCCAATGATAACAACCATTCCCCAATCCATTTATTCAAGTTGAAATCTGTTGGCCTCCAGTTTCCTTGTCAACCACTCAGTTTCGCAACGGTCCTTATTTCTATGAAGTGAGGTATAACACAGGCTGCCCCTTTCCTGTCACTGGGTATTACAATACCTTGCCTTGCATGGGGAAAGGGGCTTATTGGTCAGAGTCGACTTGTCAACTAATCATAACTCTTTCACTTCCAGTTTAAGTTGTTGTTAGCTGTGAAATTTGGCATTCTTGTGTCTGTCCTGATGAGTACAAATGGAAAGCACCAGCATTGTGTCACTTTTGTTTTGGCAATACACAAGTTCTGTATCTTTATTAAATTGCTGAGCAGCCTTTGCAGTGCCCATTTTGCATTTTGTTTGCCAACAGATCGCCTTGAAAGTTGTAAAATATGATGCTCGTGGGAATTTTCTGGGCTGGGAAGATGTCAGGGGAGGCACTTTACAGGTGAGATGTATCTTATCTCTCTCTGGTTTTGTTTACGTGACAGTTAAAATAGTTAAAAATGTTGGGTGTGAATGTCCCATTGAGTTACAGAGGTCTACAGTATAGAAAAAGGCCCTTTGGTCCTTCAAGTCAGTGAGGTTCAAAAACCACCTAACCATTCTCATCCCATTTTGCTGCACTCAGCCTGTAACCTTGTATGCCTTGGCATCACAGGTGTACATCTAAATACTTAAATGTTATGAGGGTTTCTGTCTCCACCAACCTTACAGGCAGCGAGTTCCAGATTCTGGCCACACCCAGTGAATTCTTTTGTTCCTCACATCCCCTCTAAACCTATTGCCCCTACCTTAAATCTATGCCCCTGGTCATTGATCCCTCCACCAAGTCAACAAGTCTCTTCCCGTCTATCTCTGCCCCTCATCATTTTATGCACCTCAATCACATTTCCCCTCAGTCACTTCTGCTCCAAGGAAAACAACTCCAGTCTGTCGAATCTCTCTTTGTAACTGAAACTCTCCAGTCCAGACAACATCCTTGCAAATCTCCTCTGCACCCTCTCCAGTGCTATCACATCCCTCCTGTATTGTGGATTCTGGAACTGCACACAATACTCTAAACTGTGGCCTAGCCAACATTTTATACAGTTCCAGCATCACCTCCCTGCTCTTAAACCCAAAGCCTCGGCTGATAAAGGGGCAAGTATCCCATGTGCCTTCTTAACCGCTTTATCTACCTTGTTTTGGGGCTACTCCATTCTCTGTTCTTGACCCCAGCTCTCCCCATTGGGATTTGACAGGAGAACCAGGAGAAAGTGAGAGGGCACATCAGCATGGGGAGGCTGTGTAGTGATGGTGTGATGGAAGTGCTGATGGGGATGAAGGAATGCAGAGGTGGTGCCCAAATTTCTGTGAAAGATCATTGACCTGAGATGTCGGCTGTGTTTGTCTCTCCAAACTGGTGTGCTAAGCATTTTATTTCAGATTTCCAACATCTGGAATCTTTTGCTTTAGTTCTTGTGCAGTAGTGTGTACATCACAAAGTAAACTTTAGAGTTCATTTCACTATTGATCCTGTGAAAAGAAATGACTGAGATAATCTGGATAAACAGCTTTGGCTGAGAGTTAATAAAATACAGCAATTTTCAGTTAATCATATAATTGCTTCAATCTGCCTAATGCACATATTTATTATTCTTAACAGCTATGCCCTGACACTCAGATACTGCTGGATGCTGCCTTCAAGTTTGGCTCTTCCTACATTCAGTCTGTGAGTAGAGATCAATGTAGGCAGACTTCCCTGCTTGACTATTTATCTGAGCCAAATTGAAATGCTTTGGAAATTTTCTTTCCCTATTCTCCTGAGTGAAATCTCATAGACTCATAGACGTTTACAGTACAGAAAGAGACCATTCAGCCCATTGTGTCTATGCCCAGTCAACAAAGATCTAACTACAGTTAACCCGTTTTCCAGTTTCTGATCCATAGTCTTAGAGGCTATGGCAATGCGAGTGAATATCTGAATACTGCTTAAACGTTATTAAATTATGACTGGAATATATAAAAGAATGTGCTTATAATATCCTAACAAATTGTAAACAAAGGGATTCTCCTGTTATCTATTATCAGTTAACATCGACCATAAAGTATAGAATCCAATGTGTTGGAATTTTGTCATTGGAAAGATGAAATAGATTGGATGTGAAATTCCTTGGATTTTATGAACCAACCAACACACAGACTGAATGGCATTTCTTGGTCCTGCATTTAGATATATCAGATTGTCATTTATGTTGGAAATACAGGAAAATCTAGAGCCCCATCTGGGCATGCACCCTTTCTATCTGAATTCTCTGTATTTACTGCATTCCGACGCATGGGCACATGTAATTTGTGTGCTCTTTGGTTTGGATCCATCCCGATTGGAGCTTCTGCCTTAATGTGTGAGATTTGGGCTGGGAGATGGGAATGGTGGTGGGGTGTGTGTAGTGATTTGGAGTTATAAAGTAACGGAGAACCATACGTTCAGCCATTGGTGGAGGATGATCTTGTTGTTGGCTTAATTGTATTGTAAGAGTTAACAATGTATAGTGGAAGATGTTAATTGATTAAGTATCTTGAGCACAATTGTAGGGCTGTTGTGGCACAATGGTAGTGTCCCTATCTCTGAGCCAGGAGGTCCAGGTTCAAGTCTGAAGAAGGGTCCAGACCCGAAACGTCAGCTTTCCTGCTCCTCTGATGCTGCCTGGCCTGCTGTGTTCATCCAGCTCCACACTGTGTTATCTCTGACTCCAACATTGGCAGTTCCTACTATCTCCAGGTTCAAGCCTCTCCAGCTCCAGAAGTGTGTAGCAAAATCACTGAACAGGTTGATTAATAATAAAATATCTCAAGCACATATAAAATGGGACTTTCAATTTAGTTTGTTTTTTTTTGAAAATGTGGGATACTGGCTTCGTTATGGGGTAAGAGGCAAAGGTATGTAATGCTGTTAATGTTAAAGAGACCCACTCTCAAGAAAGGGATTTGTGTTCAGATTCGGACTTCACCACCTAGCTTGAGATCCAGTTAACAGAGGGCTGTGAGGTGGGTCATATAGCTTCTCCAAGCAGTTGACCAGCTGACTTCCATTCTACTTCTTTCATTGAAAGACCCACTGAGGGATATTTTAGGGGTACAGAGTTGCTGTTCCCCCATACCCCTTGCTTCATGGAGAGTCCTCCTGATTCATGGAGGAGGTCACCCCCAGTGACTGGGGGGTGTCATTGGAGCTGGAATGTCCCAACAAGGGGACCTTGGATGGGTCCAGTTCTAAACCAGCTCTCTGGGTTGGGGCTGGAGCTGGTGGGAGTGAAGAGCTAAAGGGGGCGTGGGTGAGGAGAGGGGGGAGTGGAAATAGGGAAAAGAGTGTGGGATTTGTCCCAACATTTGGTCTCCTGAAATGTATATTTTTCATTTACTTAACGTGGAATTCCCTGAGGTCTCCTGAGTGCTGCCGTGTCAGTGACTGTCTCTGCCAATGGCACTGATAAGTTTTCCAAGCTGTAGCTGTCCAGTTGACCAGGTCATGCACATGAATTGGCCAATCTCAAAATACATTGCAGTCAGTGTCATACATTTAAATCGTTAAAGTAGCTCAGTATCATTTCATAGTCAAACTGTGTTGTCTAAATGCCTTTAAGCCTGTTTAATCCAAACTGACAAATTGTGGAAATGATTTCTTGAACAATGGAAGTAGAACTTGGAGGCAGCGTTCAGGAGCGAGTGAATCTTATTGTTTTATTGCAGTGCAAGATTCAGATCTCAGATCTTCTCAGTCGATTCCCAGAGCCTGTCCTTTACGAGCTGTTTCTCCTGTTCAACGATAGTCAAGGACAGCAGAAGGTCTGGCCCATCCCTATACGCAATCTGAATCTAGACAAGAACGATATACGTAAGTCATGGTGTTCAATCACTCTCTGATGCCCTCTTACCTTTTGAACCAGGAGCCCACTTTCAGGCATTTGGCTGCTTTCTGGATGACATTAGCTGACAAGGGTGATGCTAATATAGTTATGACGTCGCTGAACAAACAGCCCAGAGGCCTGGGCTAATGCTTTGGTGACAAGGCTTCAAATCCAATCACACCAGTCATGCTGACTAAGAAACTATCATTGATTGTTGTAAAAGTCCATCTGGTTGACTAGTGCCCATGAGGGAAGAAAATCTGCCGTCCTTATATGGCCTGGCCTATGTGTGATTCCAGACCCACAGTAATGTGGTTGATTCTCAACTGCCCTCTGAAATGCCCAAGCAAACCACTCAGTGAAAGGGCAACCAGTAACACCCTGTGAAGTAATTTACAAAGTTCTTGATGAGTCATCTCAAATGCAGGAAGGACCATCTGGAGGTTACAAACAGCTCCCTGTTCATCAGACCATTCTGGAAAACAGCAACTAATACTCAACTCAAAGGAAATTATTGCCATTGCTGGAAATCTGAAATATAAACAGAAAATGCTAGAGAAACTCAGTAGGTCTGACTGCATCTGTGGAGGGAGAAACAAAGTTAATGTTTCAATTCCAAAAATGACTGTTCAGAATTCTGGAAATTTGGATCCTGCCAATCCTGCTGAGTTTCTTCAGCATTCTCTTGTTTTGTAGCAGCTAATAGCCTCTACGTTTAGTTCACTAAAAGTCATTGACTAGATGGATGGTGTCACTGGGGACAAGAGTTCTAGTGAACTAAATATAGAGAGTATCAGCTGCTATAAAAACAGAGATTGCTGGAGAAACTCAGCAGAACTTGCAGGATCTGAAGTTCCAGACCATTAAAGAACCATCATTTCATCACTGAACCAATAGCAGTGATGCCAGTTCCCAAACTTCCTCAAAGACGGTTGACAGCACTTAACTAAATTGACACTCAGCATGTACTGTGTGACAACCCATTCCATTATTAGAGGATGAAGGATGAGCCAAGGGTGATTATAGCCAGTGGTCATATCGTATGCTTTGCTCCTGAGTTTGAACCATTCTGGGGCAAACATCTCTGTACCTGTGGCTGTCCTTTTTGGATCCTCAGTGCAGTAGACACAAGAGATTCAGAAAGGGGAGGAGTACGTATGAACTCTACCTAATTTCACTGCACCATTGCAACTTGCCGAACAAGATCTGCTGCAAGGGACACCTCACTTCTCCTTTTGACATCTCAGAGAGCCCATTGAATAGATAAGGTAGACATCCCATTAGGAGCATGTTGTGATTTTAACAAGGTCAGCCAGGTGGATCCTATAGAAAAGAGTTCCCTGATTGAGGCCATTAATCTGGTCCAGTCAGGGCGCCCTGGCTGACAGATAAGGAGTGTCAGACATCCTATTCAGTCTGAGAGCTGGCTCTGACGGAGCTCGATCAGTGTCAAGAACTCTCCACATGTAAATAAAGGGTGACTAGGTGACGGCATACCAGCCTCTCTGGAGTTATTTCAGAGCGTATAAAAGTAGCCAGAGTATTAATTGTACCAGGATGGGGGAGGTGTAGTTGGGAAGTAGGAATTGCAGAGTGGATTCTTGCTTTTGTGGTGAGTTAGTTGCTCTCGATTGCTTCAGTACTGGGAATTAATTGACTGTTCCTGGGCAGATTAATGTGTCTTTTTTTATTCCAAATTAACCTGGTTGTTTTGCTTGTTGGATAATTTACAGCAACAGGGGGTTCCCAGTTTATGAATGTCTGACTTAAGAATACTCATGCTTATAAACGTGATCCCACACAAGGGCGTAATTTTAAAGATCTGATGGTACAAATGCTTCCTCATACATCTATTTTATATTGTCTCTGCATCATGTTCCCAGTCAGGGTGCGTATTAATCAACTTGCGAATGGACTCAAGAACAGAACCTGTTTGCAACCTGGGCACTGCTCATATGTTTATTCAATTATTGAGAAGTTTATTCAATCTCACTGGCATTTATTGCCTATCCTAGGTTGCCCTGAGTTGATTGGGCGATTGGGCCACTTCAGAAACTTGGTTGAGCCTCCTGTTGGGTAATGGTCATGGATATTTTTGGAAATGAATTGAACCAATAGATTTTTACAACAGTCTACCAGCTTGAGAGATCATTTTTACAAATATGAATTCTTTCCGAGCTCTGTCAGAGCTTTCAACCTGGAAAGACGACAGTTTAAAAAAAAAACGGGTGGTACAGTTTAAAGCCACGTTGACAGGAGCTGAATGTTGTGCCAGCTTAGAACAGCCATGACTGCTAATGCCATCTGTAAATGCCAATCAGATTGCAGGCTGTATCCTCCACGTGGGAAAAGCAGCACTGGAGAAAAGAATACTGAAGAAACCCTGTCAAGCTGTGTAGAGTTTTATGCGTCTGAATGGGGTCATTTCTCATTCTACTAAACTCCGCTAAAGACCTAATCAATAGGCAGCTCACCACCACCTTCTCAAAGGTAACCAGGGACGGGCAATAAATGGTGGCCCTGCTAGTGACACCATGAATGAATTTAAACAAAAAACTTGTTTGGTTAATAGCATTCTGATCTCTGAGTTGCAGACTTAGACACAGAATCCGGGCTGGCACTTGATGCAGTTCTATGGGAGTGCTGTACTGTCACGTGGTGCTGTCTAACAGATGAGGTATTAGCCCGAGGACCCTAATTTCTCACCTGGGCAAACGTAAAAGATCCTGTGGCATTACTTTGAAGAAAAGCAAGCGAGTTACTCCCAGGGTCCGACATTTACTTCTCGATAATCATCACAGAAACAGATTATCTGGTTGTGGCTATCTGCGGGAGCTTGCTGTGTACAATTCGCTGCCGTGTTTCCTGCCTTACGGGTGGGGTCAGTGACTAGACCCTTCAAAAGTATCTAATTGGTTGTGGGGGCACTCTGGGCGTCATGTTATAAAAATAGGAGGTTTCTTGTTGCTTGCAGGAGAATTTCGGAGATTCTTTTTGGTAGATGGCTTGACAGGAAGGAGGAGCAGTCTCAGTAACCCAACAGACTCTGTCACCTACGCGAAAGACATTGTACTCAGGTGAGGAAGCAACCATTGAAAGATTCCAGCGCGGGATTCTTCTGTCTGAGGCTTTAGTTTGCTCGGTGCCTCAATAATGAGATGTTCAGTTCTCTGATCCGCCACAGTTTTACGCCACTTCTTCCCATTCTGGATGTGATGTGATGAGATGTGATTGGTGAGCCTATCCATGCCCTTTACTGTACAACGCTGTCCACAAAGTGCCGCCTATGTACAGCAGCTGTAGTGGCCTCAGTCTGCACCCACAGAATTGGAAACCATCTCTAGTTCACAAAGGAGTGCTCCAGTGCAGTACCAAGGGAGTGCTGCCCACCCTTTTCAATGATATCATTTGCTAGTGTGATAAATCACCCGCATTCATGGGTGACACGGTGGCTCAGTGGTTAGCACTGCTGCCTCACAGCGACAGGGACCCGGGGTTGTTGACTGTCTATGTGGTGTTTGCACATTCTCCCCGTGTCTGCTTGGGTTTCCTCCGGGTGCTCCGGTTTCCTCCCACAGTCCAAAGATGTGTGGGTTAGGTGGATTGGCCATGCTAAATTGCCCCTAGTGTACAGGGATGTGCAGGCCAGGTGGATAAGTCATGGGAAATGCAGGGTTACACGGACAGGGGGGATCTGGTGAGATGCTGTTCAGAGGGCTTCGATGGGGTGAATGGCCTGTTTCCACACTGTAGGGATTCTATGATTCTATGATCCATGGCCAGCCATTAGTGTCAGCACCATCACCTTTGTGGATTAATTTCTGGAAATCGAGGGATCTGAGCTGGAATGGGCTCATGAAGTTGCAAGAGAGACAATCGCTGTCCCTAAAAACGGCAGATCAGAGAGTATAAGGGTCCTGACTTGAAGCGTCAGCTTTCCTGTTCCTCTGATGCTGCCTGGCCTGCTGTGTTCCTCCAGCTCCACACTGCATTATCTCTGACTGCAGCATCTGCAGTTCTTACTATCTCAGAGCAGAGAGTAACCCATTTGACCCCTTGCAGGAGGCTGTCTTGCGTGGAGCTAGTTGCAAAAGGAAGGTGTCACAGCCACATCACCTGAAATCACCACAACCCACCTCTACATTATCCCCACTCATTGTTAGGAGTACGCTCTGAGCAGGTCAGGCCTGGTTTAGCCAGTGCTATCTTAGAAACCCTGGCAGAATACAGCTGGTGGCCCACGATGCTGATATAACTGAATCAGAGATCCTGCAATTAGCCAGTCTCTGGATGGGAAGGCATGTGTGAGTGGGAGGAGGCCTGTCTTAGGTGGGGGTGAGAAGTGAGGTAACCTGTTTGAGTGGGGTGTGAGACCTGTTTTGGATGGGGGAGGGTTGGTTGGCAGTGGGTGTGTGACATGTTTGAGTTGGATGATGGGGTGGGGAGATAACCGTGAAGGGTTGGCCTGGCCTCATTGAGGAGGGGCTGTCCTGTTTGAGTGAGGGGTGGGATGCAGTGGCCTGCTCGGTGTGTAAGACTGCTGCTGAGCGGATTTTATCTGAACCTTCAGCCCAAGCTCCCAACTACAATTCATGTTGGTCAGTAAAAAACTTTCCCAAAAGAATTGTGGCTCCTATCTCCATGTACAATCTCGAGAAATGTTCCATACAATCCCCATCTCCTGTGAGGATAACCCAAAGCCTCAATGACTGAATACATTGGTGACAAATGAAGACTAATTAAGAGCTGCACAGATTTCCCCAAAATGGTGAAAAGCTGAACAAACTTGCCTCAGTACAGGTTTCCCACTTTGCTGTCCCTAAGCCCCTGTTTCTGGCTAATGTCTACACAAGGTGCAATCAAAATGTGACATCTCTAGACTTGTGCTGAATTGATTTGGACGCTGGTAAGACATAACATGTAGATGCTTTTATGAAACTGCTAAACAGATGTGTAACCTCGTCCCTGCTGCAAGAATGCATTTCAGTAGTTCAAAAGGTCATTGAATTTGGCAACTCACCAAGGTTTCTTCACTGGTACTAACCAAATATGTGATTTCTAGCACCTAGGGAGGGAGAGAGAGAAAGAAGTGTAGTGAGATCAAAGTGTGACTGACACACCCAGGTTTCCTGTGACCAGCAAAGATGTATCACTCAGAGATAGTAAGAACTGCCGATGCTGGAGTCAGGGACACAATAAAGTGTGGAGTTGGAGGTACACAGCAGGTCAGGCAGCATCAGAGGAGCAGGAAAGTTGATGTTTTGGGTCGGGACCCTTCTTCAGAAATGGGGGAGGGCGAAGGGAGCTCTGAAATAAATAGAGAGAGGAGGGGTGGGGCTGGGGAAGGTAGGTGGGATGGTGATAGGTGAGTGCAGGTAAGCAGTGGTGGGGATTGGTCAGTGAGTGGGAGGAGCGGATAGGTGGGACAGAAGATGGACAGGTTGTGTCAGATCAAGGAGGTGGGGATGAGAGGGAGGCTTGGACATGGGATAAGACCGGGGTGGGGAGATTTTGAAACTAGTAAAGTCCACATTTAAACCATTAGTTGTAGGCTCCCAAGGCGGAATATGAGATGCTGCTCCTCTAGTTTTCAGGTGGCGCCGTTGTGCCATTGTGACACAGTGTATCACTTTCTTTAATGCCAGCACTGGGGGCCTACAGTCAACGCATGGACTGCAGCGATTCAAGAAGGCAGCTCATCGTTACCTTCTCCAGGGCAAATAGGAATAGGTGTACATCTAGCCATTGTCAACACAGCGTGCAGCTGGAGGAACACAGCAGGTCAGGCAGCATCAGAGGAGCAGGAAAGTCGACATTTCGGGTTGGGACCCCTCATCAGAAGTGTTTTCATCTGATGCTGCCTGACATGCTGTGTTCCTTCAGCTCCACATTGTGTTGACTGTGACTGCAGCATCTCTACATCCAACCAGTTGTGCCTACGTCCAAGGAATAAATTTTTAAAAACTAAACAATACATGGTGATTGCCTTCCGACCTCTATGATGCTGTCGTGTGTGCGCCATGGTGTTCAATTATTGCGCATTATTGTTGATATTTGCTGTTTATTTTCTGCAGAGGACACTGCCGGTAGTTTCTGCAATTCTGCAAATGATTAATGTTCAGGAAAGGATTATGAATATTTGAAAGCCCTAAAACTATTTCAAAAAATTACACAGAAAGAAAAATGTGCAAGCCACTTATAAAATAGCTTGGAACCAAAGCGTTTCTTAACATCAACTTTTTTACCTGTAGTTTAAGCAGGATAAATGCTCATTGCCAACACTTGCTGGGTTTCAGACTTGGGCTCACCTGGTCTTTTAGTAAATGCATTGACTAGAGTAAAATCTACAGCATTATCTGAGTCAGCAGGCCTATCTCACACTTGGGCATTAACGTTTTGATGGGGTTTAAAAAGTTTTTAGGAGAAATGTACTTTTTTCTGAAGATGAATAGCCAACTTGATGTTGATATTTCTATAAAAGTTTAGTTTGATTATGAGACAGAGAGACATTCAGTCCAATCAGTTGACGTTAGCATTTACATTCAACTCAAGCCTTCTCTGCTCATTCCTTCATGAATTATCGTCATAACCCTCTGTTGTGTACCTATCAATTTTCCCCTAAATGTATCTATGCTATTCACCTCAACCACTCATTATTGATGCTGTTTGCAATTTTAGACTAAGTAACATGTACCACAAACGTATACCACAAGTAACCGAGCTCTTGTGAGGTGGATGTCTTGAAGTTTATTTACAACACTAACTGTGTACAAGACTACAATATCACAGACTTACACACACAGTCTGGATTGTGTGCTTACTGATGTTACTGTACTTGACATACACATAGCTCACTGACTTCATGACACAGAGAGAGTGACTGAAGGTGTGGCAGGTTCCTAAATGTCATGTGACTGTCTCTGAGCTATAGGACTGTCTCCAATCTGCAATCAATGTTGTGATACAATGACCATGGCACTAAATCCCACAATCCCACCACCTTCTGGCTAATGAGGTTCCTTCTGAATGTCCTGCTGAATTTTGTCTTGATGAACTAATATTGATGACCTCTCGTTTTTCTTTTCCCACATGCTCACTATGTCTGCTTGATCAAAACCTTTCATCTTTTTAAAGACCTCAGCCTTCTTTTTCCAAGAGAAAGCGGACCCATCCTTTCCTGATGGATGTAACATGACATTTCTGCCATTATTGTTGTAAACCATTCCTGTACCTTCTCCAGTGCCTCCACGTCTTTTTATAATCGCACAGCCCAGAGCCTTTGAAGGTGGAGGGGGGCAGGGTAATCTTGATCATAGTCAATGCCAAATGGTGAAGAGTTTTGCTGAAGCACCTGTAGTTGTTCCAATGATTTTGTTTCTCACGGGAATATTATTTTGACAAGACCTGAAGCCCTACCTGAGTCTGTCCACTGACTTTAATCCTTTATATTTCATTGGACAGGACCTACCTTCCTACTCAGAACCCCACCAGCGAACCGCCGTTTTTACTCACCGTGCAGTATGCTCAAGTACAAGATCTCCACGCAGAGGCGCAAGTATGTTCATGTTTCGGTTCAGTGCACAGTGGGTCCAGCTTCATCACCATAATTTGTTCAGCACAGGTGGTGATGTCATGTAGTGTGACTGGATTAGTAATCCAGATATTTAGGCTAAAGTCTGGGTATGTAGCTTCAAATCCCACGAAGGCAGTGGGTGAAGTTTGAATTCAATAATTTTTTAAGAAAGCTGGAATAGAGAGCTAGTCTACTAATTTCCTTTATGGAAGGAAATCTGCCGTCCTTACATAATCTGGCCTGCCTGTTATTCCAGACCCACAGCAATTAGGGAGGCTTAATAAATGCTGGCTTAGCTAGCAATGCCCAAGTCACTTGAACAAGTTAAAAATAAACACTCGTATCATTGTTCCGTCTGGCAATTTTCACTGAAGTTTGTCTTTTCTAAAGGCTGAGGACTGCAAGAAGAGTAGATGTTCCTCAGTTCTGAACTGGTGAATGAGTAGGAGGTCAAAGTGATGAGCCATCTCCAGTGTCAGCACTGAGGGAGTTCTGCACATTTGGAGTCACCATCTTTCTGATGAACCATTAAACTGTCCCTTCAAATCAAAGGATTTTGTGACTAATTGGAGGGGTGTTATAATCAATGTCCTGGCCAATATGCTGCCTTCATCACCATCACAATGGCGCATTATAAGATCTTCATGACATTGCCTGTTTATGGGAGTTTGCTGTGTGAAATTCTATGCTGCATTTCCTACATTATAACAGGAACTACAATTTAAAATCTACTTTGTTGTCTACAAAATACTTTAAGATGAATATGAATTAAGGATTGGCTAACCATTAGGAAGCAAAGAGTAGGAATAAATGGCTCATTCTTAGGTTGTCAGGCTTTGATCGGTGGGATTTCACAAAATTCAGTGCTTGGGCCCGAGCTGTTCATAATCTACATCAATAATTTGGGTGTGGGGCCAAAGATCATTTGGCTGGATGGCTGGTTTTTGATGCCAACAGTCTGGGTTCAATTCTTGCACTGGCCAAAGTTGCCATGAAGGATGTCCCTTGTCACCCTGTCCCATCGTTTTTAGGTATGGTGACCCTCCGATTCAACCACCACAGTTGTCTCTCGCTCTGATGAGAAAGCAGGACTGTGGTGACTTTACCTAAAGGGCATTTGTGGTGCAGTGGTAGTATTCCTATCTCTGCATCAGGAGGCCCAGGATCATGTCCCACTGCTCCAGAGGTGTGTAATAATATCTCTGAACAGGTTGATTAGAAAATATCAGTATATGGGGTCAATTACAATATTTCCGAGCTTGCAGATGATACAAAACTTGGTGGGAGGTGAGTTGTGACGAGAATATCAAGAGGCTTCAAGGAGATTTTGGAAGACTGAGGGAGTGGACAGGAGATGTCAGATAAATATAATGTGGATAAGTGTGAAATTCTCAAGTGGTGAGAGATTGATGTCCACAGGGACCAAGATGCCCGCTTTCAAAAATCATTAAAAGTTAGCATGCAGATGTAACAAGTCATTTGGAAGGCAAATGGAATGCTTGCTTTTATTGGAAGAGGATTTGAATACAAGAACAAAGAAATCTTCAATTGTACAGAACACTGGCGGGACTGCACCTGTGCACTTCTCGTTCCCTTACCAAGGGAAGGATTAATATTAACTTACAGCAGAGGGAATGCAGCAGAGGTTCATCAAACGGAAGCCTGGGATGATGGGACCACTCTTTGAAGGAGTGGTTGATGGCGTTCAGGCTTTATTGTCTAAAATACGGAAGAATGGGATGATCAAATAGAAACATAGAAAATTACAAAAAGGACAAAGTAGATGCAGAAAGGATATTTCCTCTGCCTGTGAGGTCTAGAACCAGGGAACTGAACTCAGAATAAAAGGCTAGCCATTTAGGATTAGATGAGGAGGAACCTTCACTCCGATGGTGGTGAATCTTTAGAATTCCCTGACACTTAGGGTTGTGGAAACTCAGTCATTAAGTAAATTCCAGATGGAGATTGATAGATTACTGATGACCCCAAGAGAAATGGGGATTCCGTGGGAATATGGTGTGGAGGTTGATGCAGGTTTGAGGGGCTGAATGGTCTGCTGCTGCTTCCAGTAGAACCTAACCCAAAACCATTGCCATGTTACATTCAAGTTACATCCCCATCCTTCCTGATACCCATCGCAGTGACTCATGGAGCTAAGTTAGAACAATAAGCAACTCGCATTTATGTAGCACCTCTAATATACTAAACCATTCCACCAAGGAGGAAATCCAAAATAAATTGCTGGTCTGCTAAGCCTTCCACAGAGACTCCAACTGAGATGTTTCAGTTGAGCTCAAGGCCTCAATGGAGGGGAAAGCCTTTCTACTTCTGTCACTGTTGTTGAAATGGTTGTGGATATGGATAGGAACAATCTGACTGTGAGGCCTTTGGGGTTGAATTGTTTACTGGGTCTAACCACTTAGACTCTGATCTTCTGGTAGACATCAGTGCCTTTAGATTGAGGAGGAAACACATTTACAAAATAAACAAATAAAAAAAGGCCACTTCCATTGTGTCTCATTCTTGAATGAAGAAGTTAATTATGATTGAAACAGATTAGTAAATAATTCAATCATTTTGATAAAGTTCATATCCTCAGTGCTTCTGGAGAGACAAAGCAAGTCATGTGAACAAAAGCAGCCACCTTTACATCGAATTACATAGAATTTGCAGTGCAGAAATGGGCCATCTGGTCTGCTGTGGTGTTTATGCTTCACATGAACTATCTCCCCCCATCTTTATCTAACCTCACTAAAACGAACTTCTAATTTCTCCCTTGTGCTTATCTGGCTCCCCCTTAAATGCATCTACTCTCTGGATGGTGAGATTTCTTCTGAATCTTGCAGTGAGAATTAGACTGCATTTCTGTGGGAACTTGATTTGGCTCAGTTTGCGTCTTTGAAACGAGGTCATAATGCAATAAATCGTGATTTGAAAAGGGCTCAATAAGCTTCAAATAAATCAAAAAACGTTTCTGGAAGATACTTAAGGCATTATATCTGTAGCTGTGGAGTGCTCTTGACACCAGGAAGGAATTACTTCTGTAGTGATTGTTGCCTTGGTTACCCAGTGTACCTGTAGGAACTGACAAGTGCTTTGTGAAAGATTCCTTATTTGTCGTCTTCTCCTCTAGGTGACATTTGCTATGCATTATGAAATGAACTATTTTGCACACAAGAGAGACACTGATGTAAGTACTATGATGAAGCCACAGTTTTTGCTAATTCCATCCATTAATCTTATTGAAGGATAATTAGAATATGACACTGTTAACGCATCACAGCCCCTATAATCATCTCTTTGCCTTTCAGCCATGTTGCTCTTGTAGATAACTTTGGTGGAACACTTGCTGAAAATTAAAGGAACATTTTCAGAGGACTGCTGGTGGGGACACAGTGGGATAGTAGTAACGTCACTAGACTAGCACTCCAGACACCTGTGCTCTGCAGACAGAGGTTCAAATCTCGCTGTGGTAGCTAATGGAATTGAACTTCATAAAATTCATTTAATTAAAAAGGGGAAAGTAGATATTGGTAATAGTGACCATGAATTGTCGTCAAAAACTGGTGTGCTCCTGTCTGGTTGATGTGGGACAGAGTCTTATTTCCTCTTAAATACATCTGTCGTCGAAGTACATTTGAAGAATAACATTTTATTTACAGGTTAAAGGCACATACAGCTATTAATCTACAAAAGTTCAGAGTGTCACCTCAATAAGGTTATTTGTGATTTGATCATGGTTATATCAGGCTTATGCCATTAAATCATTGTCCCCTCATTCATCTGGTTCATTATTAGGGAAGGAAATCTGCTATCCGAGCCTGGTTTGGCATACATGTGATTCCAGGCCCACAGCAATATCACTGACTCTTAATTGTAGTCCGGGGCTATTACAGATGGGCAGCAATTACTGGCCCTGCAGGATGTCTGCAAACTATAGAAGGATGAATTTTTAGAACATAATTGTAAAAATTTTTTTAAAAATGCCATTTTTTATCTGGCAGAGCCCATATTGATGAAGACTTTGCGGTTTTACAAGAATAGAGAAATGACCCTCTAAGTGTTATTGGGGCCCTGATGTGCTTTTGAGCCCCAGGAGGGAGACTCTGGGCTTTGATAGTCACTGAGTGGGTGTTTCAGGGTCTAGTATTTTGAAGGGTGCCCAGAGTCTGTGAAACTGCAGAGGGGGCGTTCTGAAAACAATGGGGCCAGGTTCTGAGATCTTGGAGCATTAGGCAAAGAGGTCTTGGCATCTGCAATTTTGCTTCTTAGTTGCCTTGGCTTTAAACTCTGGAATACCTTCCATAACCTCCTCGACCTCTTTTCTCCTCCTCTAGGTTGCTGTTCGAATCCCACCACATCGATTTGATTTGATTTGATTTATTATTGTCACATGTACCTAAGTGCAGTGAAAAGTTTTGTTTTGCGTGCAGTACAGGCAGATCATACCATACAAAGATCAGAGGATGATTGAACAGAGCGAGGAATACAAAGTTACAGTTGCAATAAAGGCGCACAAAGAGCGAGATCAACATTAGATTTAAAAATTGAGAGTTCCCTTCAGAAGTCTAAAAACATAGGGTGGGGGGAGGGAAGGAGCTGTACTTGAACCTGTTGGTACGTGCGAATAAGTTTTTGTATCTTCTGCCCGATGGAAGAGGTTGGATGAGATTATAACCTGGTGGGAGAGGTCTTTGATGTTGGCTGCCTTTCTGAGGTAGGGAGAAGTGTGGATGGAGTCAATGGATGGAGTTGGCATGTGTGATGGTCTGGGCTGTGTTCATAACTCTCTGTAGTTTCTTACAGTCCTGGGCAGAGATGTTGCCGTACCAAGCCATGATGTATCCAGATAGAATGCTGTCTATGGTGCATCTATAAAAGTTGGCGCAGTATTTAAGTTACCTGGGCATATAAGACGGGCATAAAGCTTCTCTATGCTGCCCAGCTTCTGGAAGGTTCTGCACGCACCCATTGGCGTTCTGACATAGTTTTTCTTTCCGGAAGCTACTGCCACACACGGTCCTCCAAGATGCAGGCAGTGGCAGGGAGAATTAGAGGGAACTTTGAAGATGATGCCATTCAGCACCAAAGCGCACACTTAGGTCTATACTCAGTATATAATTTGAGAGCCCCACCCTCATCTCCTGCTCTTTTACGTGAATAATTTGTTCCAGCTACCTCAATTTTACCAGTTTCAAAACTAACACTTTTTTTTAAATCTGGAAATGGAGTGTGATTATACGAGTTAAATTATGGGAAAACATTATCAAGCTTTATAGTTGTATGAAAGATAAAGGTTTACTTTTTTTTAAAAGCACCATTTATTGAAATCATGTGGGGAATTGACAAAAAAAAAGTGCAGGTGAAATTTTTTGGGCCAGGACCTTCACGTAGAACACTTGGGAAAATGTTCACCGTAAAATTATACTGTGTACAAGGCTGTATGGGTGGAGGTGTGTGTACATATATCACAACAACACTGGGGATTGCTGTAACCTGCAGATATTTTGTTGTTTGCTGAAACTTGAGCCAGGGACATTAAAAGGCCATTGGGAGTTGAATAAACAAATAGTTTTAATGTATACAGAGCATGCTGGATTTCTCGATTGACCTGAAAGCAACACTGTGACTTTTTATTGGAGTTCTACATGGATCAATTAGTCAAATACAGATCAACATGTTGTTTTCCTTTTGGTAAATTATAATAGAGAGGGAGGGAAAAGCGCAACCGTTTGCAATAAAATTTACATTCAGTATATTTTTTATTCATTCATTGGATGTGGGCATTGTTGACTGGACTAGCATTTACTGCCTGTCCCTAACAGCCCAGAAGGCATTGAAGAGTCAGCCTTGTTGCTGTGGGTCTGGAATCACTTGTAGGCCAGACCCAGTAATGATGGGAGATTTCCCTCCCTGGGTGCTGTTAGATGGGTGGAAAGTGATGATTTTGGTACAAAAGTCTATTGCAAGACATCAGGACAAACTGGATATCAAGTGAAAGGTTGAAAATATTCCTTCTCTCCAACAGACCTAGCTGCCTTCCCTCATAAGTGGTGTACATTTTTCCTGTCTCATCAAAGGGAGATAGGTTGAGTATTTACCTTCCTTATTACTGCTTGTCTTGACACATTTTATATAATAACTGTATAAACTGATCCCTGTTTTTGGAAGGTTTTTTCGAAACTTCAGTGGTCAACTCATACTCCTCTTTGACCATGCTTTTTGTTCACCTGCCTTAATATTTCCCTATGTGGCTCGATGCCAAGTTTAGCTTGAAAACCACACCTTGGGATACTTCCTAAAAGTGCTGATAAATGCAGATGGTTATTGTTTGGGAGGATGTGTGCAGCCTCGGATCTGACAAGACAAGCAAACAAACAGGTAACCAAAGAAGGCTGTTCAGCCCTTCGAGCCTGCTTGGCCATTCAACAAGATCATGGCTGATCTGATTTTTACCTCATCCCTGCAACTCTTTGTCCCCTTGGTAATCATGAATCTATCTACCTCTGACTTTAAAAATATTGAAAGTCTCATCCATTGCCTTTTGAGGAAGGGAATTCCAAAGGCCCACAACTCTCTGAATGATAAAAATGTTTCCTCCAAGATTATTTGGAGTGCAGATTCTGGGATCCGAAAGCTCAGGGAATTATGAATGGGAATGGGAACACTGGGAGCTTATGCCGAATGTTTGTGATTTATTTACTTCATAACTGATTGTTTCTTGTGATTAGTTATTTCAGGATCACTGTTGTTCATGTTTCCTTCTTAATTTTCTACCAGCAATTTTCCTCATTTCTCAATGTACGTTCCCTGATTCCTCAGTTCTAAATGACTTTGTTTTACTTGTAACTGTTCGATACAATATAGTACTGAAACGTTGTTAGCAAATGATTGACAGTGAATATCTTTTCAATAACAGAAAAAAACCCTGCAAATTCACAGTAATGCATAAGGTGAAACTGTGCAGTAAATGCATATAATACATGAGGGAAGGAATAACTTTTCTTTGGTATAGTGGAGACTTCAGTGCATATGAGTATGGATTGCAGGCTTCGTCTGAGGTTCTGTAGATCTGTCTCTGATTTGTGCACAAGCCTCTCAAGCTCTTGCATTCAGCTCACCTCAACAAAAGAATAGAATCCCTACACTGTTGAAGCAGGCCATTTGGCCCATCGAGTCCACACCAACCCTCCAAAGAGCATCCCAACCAGACTCACCCCTCTGCCCAATCCCTGTAAATCCTTGGCAATCCCACCAGCCTGCACACTATGGGGGCAATTAAGCATGGCCATTCCACCTAACCTGCACATCTTTGGACTGTGGGAGGAAACGCACATAGACACGGGGAGAATGTGCAAACTCCACACAGTCAGTCGCCCGAGGCCAGAATCGAACCCGGGTCCCTGGTGCTGTGAGGCAACAGGGCTAACCACTGAGCCACCGTATCACCCAAAAAGTTGATAGTTAACCCAGAGAGCAAATAATGTCTCAGAGCATTAACAGGCAGTCAGGGCTTTGGGTAATGTCAATAAAGAGACATTAAAACCACAGGATTATGTTGCAGCCTTGAACACGTGCCAAATGTCTGTTCACAGTTATCTCTTTCAGACTCTGTCCTTATCTTTGTGCCTACTGTAAACAAGTATCACTGTAACGCACGGTTTTGTTCCTCTTACACGTTTGATGAAACCTGTAACTTTTGCTTCGGTCAAAGACCTTGGGATGTTTTGTGATGTTATAGTCAGCGTAGGTCATAGTTGTTATGGTGCTTAGTGGTTGTTCTTAACCCTTTTGGCTCAGTGGAAATGGGATAGGATTGCAGTTAAAAATTAGAAGGTTTACTGACAAGCCCCTTACCATTCCTAAAGTAACCTGTAGGGTTTTGCAGGCAGATGAGGCAGCCACTTCCTGGTGAGGTATCATAGATTTATGAAAGTCAGCACTTCATGTATCAATCATACTTCAATAGGGTTTTAACCAGTGTCACAGCAGAAGATTTGTTCATGTTCTTCTGCTCTGTCTGTAACTGGACTTGAATATAGGAAAGTTCTTTCAGGTAGTTCTAGAACTTTCCTTTGTGGGACTGAGAGAAGCTGGTGTGCTCCTGTAGTCTGACAAGGCTTCCCGTTTGGCCCAGACCCCCACCCCTCCTAACCCATACCCTCCATCCCCAAAGATCAACCCCCATAGCACCATCATTTACCTGGTCCCTGTCCCCAAATGTCACTCCTGTGCTGGATGTGGTTTCATGTGGGAGACCAATCCTGTGGAGTGGTTCCCTACAATAAGAGAGATCCCACTGAAATCCAGCCCCTTGCCAGGAATGGAACAGTGCCATGTTACAAACATATGGGAAAGAGAAGGCCATTCAGCCCTTCAAGCTACCATTCAGTAAGATCGTGGCTTTTAACCTCAACTCTGCATCCCTACACACCCCTGACAATCCTTGAATGTGCTAATCAAGAATCTTACTTGCTCTGACTTGAATATGTTTTGAAGATTTTTACATCCGTTGCCTTTTGAGGAAAGGAATTCCAAAGACTCACAATTTTGCCATCTCACTGTGACACTGAAGCCTTTTCCTTTTGCACTGTAATTGTCTCTCTGACCCACATCCACTGAAGACATTGACTCTTCGCTGGGAAATCGGTTACTCCTTTGGTACCTTGCCCCAGTGTGGAGCTTCAGTAATGATCTGAATATGGGGAGGCTCATCACCACCAGACCCAATCAAATTGACAGTGAATATCTGGGTGATGGCTCAGAATGGTCTGCATATGGAATGAGCTGCCAGCGGATGTGGTTGTAGCGAGTACATTAACAACATTTAAAAGGCATTTGGACGAATACGTGGATAGGAAAGGTTTAGAAGGATATGGACCAAGTGCATGGAAATGGCATTAGGGTGGATGGACATTTTGGTCAGCATGGACCAGTTTGGGTCGAATGGCACGTCTCTGTGCTGTAGGACTCTGACTCTACGTCACATTCCTATCAACAGAACACTCTATTTTTTAAATACCTCGTCATGAGCAGTTTAAATTAGTTACTGTATTCCAGGAGAGAATCCAACAATGTATTTATCACTTCTTACCCACTCAACTACTTATGAAATACAAGTAGCAAGTCCAGTCAATTCATGAACAGCAAGATCCCACAACTTAATAGTCCATTATGGGTATATCTCTCTGTACACACTGTGGAGTGGTTGAATGCAATGTTGAGTCCATAAGGCTATAAATCTCTCATAGCACACACAGGATTGCACAGTAAGTACTGCCCAATTGTGAAATTACATCTAACAGTGGATGGTTTGCTTTGGGTTTGTGGAATATAATCTGTACTGTGCCTGTTACACATAACCACAAGATCATGCTGTTTGATTCTCACTGGGATGTACATCCTGTACCAGACATCAATCACAGCAGCAGTGAAATTCACTCTATGTTGCTCAGTTGTGTGGTAGGCAGATCATTTTCATTACTTTCACAAACAATCAATTCAAGATACAAAAACATAAATTGCTGCAAAATCTCAGTAGGTCTGGCTGCTGCTGTGGAGAGAAATTGAAGTTAAGGTTAACTTGTATCTTTTTCTCGTAGAATAAATTGTGGTCATTGTTTGAAATTTGGTATTCTTGCATTTGTCCTGTTGAGTGGAAGATGAAAAAGCATTTACAAAAATGTTCAAGTTCTGTACTACCAAGCAAATGTTTGATCGTATGATTTATATTATTCAAGTTTGTTATCCTATCAGCCTGCTATCAACAATGTTTCATAAATCTCCTGATTCCTTGAATTTGCCCTTAGCACCTCTGACTTGCTGAATCTTAATTCACTGTGTAGATAGCCCTGGGTGTTCTTGGATCTCTGGCTGTTTTCGTTGCCATGCTGGAGACAAGCAGCTGGAGACGGAGGAGCGGACTAGAATTTATAGATGTGGTGGTAAGTACAGCCTTAAACTTGCTATATAATGCATGCCTCCATTGAAAAAGAAATGACTTGCATTTATGTAGAGCTCCTCATAGTCTCAGCAAGTATCCAATCAACTTATGGACAATGAGGTACTTTCATACTAAGGTTATGGTTTTAATGTGCGGAAGGTGACAGCCAATTTTCACAGCAAGATCCATAAGCAATTAGCAGTCACACAAAATCCAACAGCATTGTTTCTTTCTTTAATCAATGTTTCAACCACCTCTAACACCCCTCCCAACCCTTTTGCTGTCCTGCATGAAAACCCTGTGACCAGGAATGTTGAACTGCTATTCCTGCCCTTCTTTTAAACTAATAGCATTGACATATATCCAAGTATCTATTTACTCAGTCACTGCTCCTTGCATTGAGGTACATTCCACAAACGCTTGTTCTCCATTGTGAGGACATTTCTTTCCTCTGCTATTCACGGTCATTCACTAATTCCCTGCTTTCCAATTCCAGCTTTGCTGCTGTCCTTTTCTGAATTTAAGCTCAGATATCCATCTCTCTTCCCTAAAGCCTCAGCCACAGTGCTCACAACCCTCCCTGTGACGTTATAGCTCCGGTCTTGTCATGTTGTCTTGTGCAGGTTCAATCTCCTCCAGAACCAGTCCCCATGCTGCAGGAATCTAACATCCTCCCTTACTTCAAAGTTTTGGCAAAGATCTGTTGCTCGGGTTGTGGGCGAGGTTGTTGACTTGCTTACCGAGCTGGCTTGAATGAGAACAAACCAGCTCGGCGAGCAAGTCAATAACCTCGTGCTCCCTTACTCATTGTTTCTCTAGTATTCACCTGCACTGTCCTCTTATTCCTGGACTGACTGGCTCGTGGCACCAGAGTAATCTCGAGATGATGACTATGAAATGCTAAAGTCTTTCCTGACTCCATGAAATCTTACTGCAAAGCTCTCCTCTCTCTTCCTGTATCATTGGTGCTGACATGAACCATAACCTCTGGTTGTAGACCATCCTGTCCCTCAGAGTGCTGCCCATGTAGAAAGCTTATACCGTGTGAAGACATTCTTCCCCTCAGACACAAGGTAAGGACTGATCCTGGGTTAAGAAGTGAGTGGCACTAATGGGGAACACTGCTCGAGAAATGTCCGGCTGAAGGGCTCTGATTCTGTCGGTCTTTAGGCAAACCCTTTGGGCTCAACACTTCTCAAAATACAGCCTTTATACATCACAGGTTGTGCATTGATTGTGTTCAACTGAATATTTGACCTTTCCTGCCTACACTTCTGTTGCTCAATCCCACTTCTAACTGGACATTATCTTAACCGTTTTTAGCTGTTTTTGTGGTGGTATGGTGGCTCAGTGTTTAGCACTGCTGCCTCACAGCGCCAGGGTTATGGGTTCAATTCCACCCTTGGGTGACTGTCTGTGTGTGGAGTTTGCATGTTCTCCCGTGCCTATATGAGTTTCCTCCAGGTGCTCTGTTTTCCTCCCACAGTCCTATGTTGTGCGAGTTAGGTGGGTTGGCTGTGCTAAATTGTCATGGTATCCAGGTATATGCAGGCTGGGTGAGTAGCTATAGGAAAATGCAGGGTTACAAGGATGGGGGAGGCTTGAGTCTGGGTGGGATGCTCTTTGGAGTGGACTCGATGGGCCAAATAGCCTGTTTCCACACAATAGGGATTCTGTGATTCTAATAGAATTATTTGAGCTCAAATCCTACCACAGCAGATGGTGAAAGTTGAATTCAATAAAAAGTCTGGAATTAAAATGCCAGCTTAATGGCAACAATGAACCCGCTATCAATTATTGTAAAACTCATCTGGTTCATTAACGACCTTTAAGGAAGGAGATCTGCCACCCTTAGCTGGTCTGGCCTACATTTGACCCCAGCCCCACAGCAATTAGGGAAGAGCAATAAATGCTGGTCGGTCACACCCATGTCCCATAAGCAAATGGGAACATTAACTATTGGCCACGTATCTGTAATTTTAATACACTTGGGAGAAAGTGTCTTAACATCTTCAGCCTTGCTTGTAAATGACAAGAGTTTGTCTCTTAGTCCTTTACTGATTTCTGAGTTAAACAGCTGCTTTACATCTAAAAACATGAGTTTCTCTCCAGGGACAGTGCCCCAACATAGACTGGTGCTGAAGTTCAGCACTAATCTGACAATCTGACTCAGCCAGATGGATTGTAAATGCAGAGAATACGAGGGAGGTGGGGGAAGTGAGTGGATCATAACCACTCACTGGATAGGCATCTCCTGAGGTCAGAGTTGCAGCATGTTATCCAGAACTGTTAAGAAGAACTTGGTTTAAGAGTGAAATAATTCTACATCTACCCAGGCAGAGCCCTGTTACACTTCCAGTCCCTGCCATTGGACCTTTTAATCCTTTATGCACATCCACCAACACAGAAAAATTGGCCCATTCTCACCAATTCTGTACCAGTTGATTTTGATGTGGTTGTGTTGTGTCTTGTTCCTCACTATCTCTTTTCGCTTTAATACAGACCATTGTGAAGTACTTTGCTTATTTTGCCGGTGCGCTGTCTAACACCTTTTTCCTCGTCACGTTTGGGACAGGTGTTTACTGGCTCATTGTCTACAAGGTAATGGGGAACTGCTTATTATCACCATCTCACCTCTCACCCCCTCAACAAGGGGAGTGCATGCTAAAGATTATATAGCACCTTTTACACCCTGAGGAATCTCAAAAACAAAGCTAAAGAAGTACTTCCAGAAATGTTATAATGTCACAGGGCAGCATGATGGTTTAGTGGTTAGCACTGCTGTATCACTGCGCCAGAGACCAGGGTTCGATTCCACCCTCAAGTGACTGTGAGGAGTTTGCATGTCCTTCCTGTATATGCGTGGCTTTCCTCCGGGTGCTCCAATTTCCTCCCACAGTCCAAAGATGTGCGGGCTAGGTGGATTGGCCATGCTAAATTGCCCGTAGTGTCCAGGGGGAAGCAGGCTAAGTGGGTTAGCCACAGGAAATGCAGGGTTACAGAGATAGGTTTGGTCTGGATGGGAAGTTCTTCAAAGAGTCAGTGTTGACTCAATGGGCTAAATGGCCTCCTTCCACACTGTAGAGATTCTATGTCTGATTTGCATACAGCAAGAATGGCAATCAGATAATTTTGTTTTCTACCGCAGTTGGGTGTGGGATAAGTATTAACCAAAACATTGGGAAGGATACCCCTGCTCGTCTTCAAACTAATTTCGTGGGACCTTTTGAAATTCAACTGAGAGTGCAGACAGAGACTTGGTCTGCCATCTCATGCAACAACGGCACTTCTGATTGGGCAGCATTGCCTCAGTGTTGACGTTAGAGTGTCAGTCTAGTTTTTGAGATCAGGTCTCGGGAGTTGGGGCTTCGACTCTCAACCTTTTGACTGGGAAGCGGTAATGCTATCCACTGAGGACTGGCATAGTTCCAATTCCGTAATTCGCTGAAACTAATGGAGCGAACCTCTGGCAGCACACAGTTTGTACTGCTGCCAGGTGACCATTGTGGTGTACTCTGTGCCAACTGCAAATATATCCTTCCACACGCCCTGCTCCACATCCTCAAGTCCTAATTGCATCATCAGCTACCAGGGAGGTTGATGACACCATAGCAACTGGCATTTATGTAGTGCCTTATAGCATAGGAATGCGTCCCCAAGGCACTACAAAAGGGGAAGTAAGGATGGGTACCCAAGTTTAGCCAACGATGTTTCTTAAAATGAATATTAATGATGGCAGAAAGGAAGAGAAATTCCAGAGTTTAGAGCTTAGGCAGCTAAAGGCAGAGCCAGCAATGAAGATTATATACAAAAACAGGAGCACTGAGATCTTGAAAAGTTGCAATTTGGAAAAGTTTATTTATCTCATTATATTAATTGTACTCATTCACAGTATTGGAGTCACTAATTTTGCTATGTAATGCCTGTGATTATGCCAGAAATCCTTATGAATATACAAATAAAATTTAAGCCAATGATGTTTTGGTGGGGCGAGCTCTTTGTTCAAATGACATTTCTTCGGCAAACCTTAAAAATCCAGATCAAATGTGTCTCGCAGTCTGTGCACAGGGAGGTATAGGGAAGGCTGTGGGATGTGAGCATTTATTGGTGATGCATTCATCCTGGTTTTGTATTTATTTCCACAGGGTCAGCAGTCCACAGTTGAGGTAACACTTCCCCCTGCTGGTGGGAAGATTGAAACTGACTTCATCGTCTATGTGGCTTGTGCCTTTGGGCTGAAGGTAAGTTAACATCATTCATTTCTAAAGAACTTCTTCCTGGGAGTTGCCTTAGATTCCTCAGTGCAGCATGACGTACATAGTGTTTAACATGGGGCCTTGCACTTTCCCTCCTGTCATTTATTAGAACAATATCCTTAGCCACGAAATCTATTTCAAAACTGATTTCAGTAGATGTCTTTTTAAGCTGTCAATGAAAATTACTCTCCTTGACTAGTAAAGAGATCAAAGGTTATGGGGAGAAGGCAGGAGAATGGGGTCGAGAAGCATATTAGTCTTGATTGAACAGAGGAGCAGACTTGATGGACTGAATGGCCTAAATCTGCTCCTATATCTTACAGTCTTATGGAATTATCACCAATTAACAACTAGCCATTCTGTGGGAGAATGGCTTGTGAATACTCCGTACGTTCCCCTGAGATTCTTCTATTTGCAATTTATCACATTTATTTTATCATATAATGTGATTAAGGGTCTATGTGAGGAAGGAGGGAGCATGTTTCAGTTGGCATTTTACTGTCTGTGTATTCTCAATGCCTCACCTATCTATTTTATATATCTATACAGAAATTACAGGATTCTTCTCAAAAATACATTGTATAGGATTCCTTGTTTAATCAAAATCACAGAATGTAAGGCACATTGGGAAGCTTGCTTCTCCTGATATATGGTAATGATCCAGATTTTGGTGTGCTGGGGATAATTTCCAAGTTTGCAGATGACATGAATCTTGAAAGAATTGTAAACAGTGAGGACTGTTTAAATGACACTTAGATAAATACATGAATAGGAAAGGTTTGGAGGGATAAGGGCCAGGAGCAGGCAGGTGGGACTAGTTTAGTTTGGGATTATGTTTGGCCTGAACTGGTTGAACTGAAGGGTCCATTTCCATGCTGTGTGACTCTATGATTCTACGACCGTGTCGAACTCCAGGAGCTCATAGACAAGTAGGGGTGAATGGGTGAATAGGTGGCAAATGAGATTCGATACAGAGGAGTTTGAAGTGGTTCATTTTGGTAATAACAACATTGAAAGACAATATAAAATAGAGGGCACAATTCCAAGGAGAAGTGCAGGAGCAGAGTGACCTGGTATACATATGCACAGATGATTGAAGATGGCAGGACAGACGGAGACAACAATAAATAAAATATACAGTATCCTCATTTTATTAAGGGGCAATAGGTGAGTACAAGAACAAAGGAATGATATTAAACACTCGTTAGACCTCTGCTGGAGTTTTATGTACAGTTTTGGGTGCCACAGTGTAGAGAGGATGTAAATGCATTGGAGAGAGTGCAGAAGCACTTTACAAGAGAGGTTCCAGAGAGGAGAAACATCACTGATGAAGATTGATTGGAGAAGTTGGAACTCGGGATTTCCTTGAAGAGAAGGCTTAATAGGAGATGTGATAGAGGATTTCAAAATCATGAGTGTGCTGGATTGAATAGAAAGCAAGAAACTGTTTCTATTTGTTTAAAAAAAACACAAGAATGAGAGGGCAGTGATTTAAAGTGATTTGCAAAAGTGGAAGGGTGATATGAAGAGAAATCTTTACACACAGTCAGTAGTAAGGGTATGGGATGCACTGCCTGGAAATGTGGTGGTGGTGAATTGAATTGAGGCATTCAAGAGGGCATGGAATGTTTATTTGGATAAAAATAATGTGCAAGGATATAGGGAAGAAGCAGGAAATTTATACTAGGTAATGATGCTCATTTAAAGAGCTGATACAGACTTAATGAGCTGAATGCCATATGGTTTCCCTTGAATCTGAGAATGCCAATGGGTCTTTGTATGCTTTTCGGGATGATCAAAGTGATTGGGTTTTTGGAGAAAATATTAATTCTGAATACTGTGTCACTGCTTTAAGAACTGGATCTGTGAATGAGCCAAGGACCAGGGTGACCCCCACAGGATCAGCAGCCATGAGAAGTTCAATCAGCATGTTCAAATAGGAATGGACTTACAAATTGTTGTATAATTGCGGGTTATTATTTTGCCTGCTGAGTAAACCTGTTTGAAATAGTCAAGCAGATTGAATCTGTGCTACTTACCAAACCAGTGTAAGAGCAGTGATTCTGTGTTAAGGACAGCAACACAAGATTACAACTTTGAAGACAGAAACCAATTGAACAAACTCATAGTTTTAGAGTCATAGAGATATATGGAAATAGATCCTTTGGTCCAACCTGTCCACGCCGATCAGATATCCTAAATTAATCGAGTCGCATTTGCTGGCATTTGGCCCATATCTACCTAAGCCCTGCCTATTCATATACCCATCCAGGTGCCTTTTAAATGTTGTAATTATACCAGCCTCCACCACTTCCTCGGATAGCTCATTCCATACATGCGCCAATCTCTGTGTGAAAAAGTTGCCCCTTAGGTCCTTTTTAAATCTTTCCCCTCTCACCTTAAACCTATGCCCTCTAGTTTTGGACTCTCCCACTCTAGGGAAGAAACCTTGTCTATTTACCCCTATCCATGTCCATCATGGTTTTATAACCCTCTAAAAGGTCAACCCTCAGCCTCTGATGCTCCAGGGAAAGTAACCCCAGTCTATTCAGCCTCTCTGTATGGTTCAGACCCTCCAACGCTGGCAACATCCTTGTAAATCTTTTCTGAACGCTTTCAAGTTTTATAACATTCTTCTGAAAGCAGGGAGACCAGAATTGAACACAGTATTCCAATGGTGGTCTAACCAATGTCCTGTTCAGCCCTGAATGATCCATGTCTGAATTATGGTGTATATTTCCTACAAAGATTCACCAAGGCTCTTTAGAGAACACCTTCCAAATGCAACACTGCTTCAATCTAGAAGGACAAAGGCATCTGGGGACATGGGGACACCACCCATGTTCCCCTCCAAGCCATTCACAATCCTGACTTGGAAATATATCACCATTCTTTCAGTATCGCTGAGACAAAATCCTGGAATTCTCTTCCGAACAGCACTGAAGATGCCTCTATACCAAATAGATTGCAATGGCTCAAGATGTCAGCTAACTGCCACCTTCGCAAGGGCAATTGGGAATGGGCGATAAATACTGGCACGGCCAGCAAGTCACACATCCCCTGAATGAATGAACGAACAAAAAAATGCTCAAATCCAAAAACCTGTCCTATAGAACAAATCTACCATTAGATTTGCTTTTGAACCCAGCAACATCTGTTACTGAGTACTGCCTGACTGTGGGGCCAGGATAGGGAGGTCTTTGTGGTAAATAATTTGAGGTACAAGCAGCACACAATGCCCCTGTTATTGACAGAGTCTGTCAGGAAGGCATACTCTCCTGATGTTGAGATATTTGGTTTCTTTTCAGGCACTGGAGCTGATTCACATCTTGATTGTTCAGGTCACTGCATCGATCTTCCTGATAGACTGGGAGAAACCAAAGGGCAGACCACTACCAAAACCAGCAGGTGGGGGTTACTTACCATCAATCTGTGTTTGGGTGATGAGTATCGGCAATTTGCAAAGTGGTTCCCGTCTTTCCTATGGTACAGCGGTGACTGGTTATATTACAGTTCACTCAGGGAGCCTGGTGTTGGTGAGGAAACATGTACTTTTGTATACGTGTTATAATCTGGAGCTATGGACAGTGAAGATAGAGGATCCAGTGTACTTTCTGTCAGATGGCTGACGAGGAAGCTCTGCTGCTCTCACCGCCTTTTATTGGCAAGGGACAGAAAAACTTCAGCCAGTGATTCTCAATCTGTTTGTCTGCCTTATCAATGCACCTGCCTTAGCCATCAGGTCCTGAAATGAGACTTGAACTCAGACTCAGGGCTTAGAGGCAGGGACACTACCCACTGCACCTTTGTGAATTCGGCGCATTCGGCCCCTCGATCCTATTCGACCATTCAATAAGATCATGGCGGATCTGTTTGAGGTTCGAATCCCACATTCTCATCGACCTTGATTCTTTTGCCCAACAGAAATCTATCTATGTTCTTCGTAAAGATATAGTGACCGTCCCAGCATGCTTTCTGAGGCAGAGAGTTCCAAAGTCAGACAACATTCTTTGAGAGAAACAATTTCTGTTGATCCCTGGATTCAGTGGGCTGAATCACCGTTACAGTGAGCGGGAGCTGGGCGCTGACTCACCGTTACAGT